CCCTGTGCTTTGCTAAGTTTGTTCTAAGTAGGTGCTTTAGACCACTGAGCCATCTCACCAGCCCCTGCCCTGCTGTCTAGTGCTGGATTTTTTGTTTGTTTTCTGCCATAGTAGTTGGAACTACTTGGTGACCAAAATACTTTGTAGGAAATTGAATGTTCTTGAAGGTTGGGGCAGGAGGGTTGTGAGTCTGAGCCCTGTGTAGGCTAGTTCAAGAGCAGCCTGGACTACTGAACAAGAGCCTCAAGCTGGGTATGGTGCTGTGCATTGTGATCCAGTGCTTTGGGCAAGTAACAGGATCATAGGTTTGAGTCCAGCCTGGGCATCTTGGTGAGTGTCTCAAAAAATGGGAATGCACCAGTGCAAAGGTCTGAATTCAACTCTTGGTTCCATGAAACTCACACGTTTACATCTGGCTGGCTGAATGCATAGAACCTACAGATGGGAGGATTAGTGGGCTTTGGTAGCTGAACTTCCTAACCGTTGGCATATTTAATGTGTTAGTGACCTCCTACTGTGCTCAGTGTGTTACTTGACACATACCTTGTGGCTAGGAGTCAAAGCCTGAAAATGAATGTAAAAATTGTGTTCTTTATCTAGTGTTGCTTCAAACTCAAACTCTAGGAAGCGTTGAGAATAAGCTCATGGATGACTTCCTGGTGTTTGGCGTCAGCCAACTGCATGTGTAAAGTGAGTAACCAGTCGCTGTGTCTACTCCAAGATGTCCTGTGCTGGGCCTTGCACTTGCTGGTTAGTACTCCACCACAGAGGCATCTGCAGCCCTTAAGTTTTATAAACTGCCCACGCTGGCCTCATGCTTGGCCTCCTAAATTGTGGAATTACAGGGATGCTCCCCAGTGCCTGGCTTAATCCCAGATACTTTGCAGTTTGTTAACGGGATATAGTAGTTTCCTTCAAGCTAGACTATTTTGTCCCTAGTTGTAGAGGTTGAACCCAGAGCCTACACTACCAGCCAAGACAAGATTATTTGTATTGAAACTAATTTGAGCAAGTTGAGGTCATCTCAGTGACCAGTACACTAAAAAATTAGAGTTAATTATAGATCTTCATTATATATACATTCTGATCATTAGGAGTTGTGGCAGTTACAAATTGGGATCTTGGGTGGGGTGAGGTGGCATACACCTGTAACACCACTTGGGAGGGTGAAGCAGGAAGATCTGCAACTGTTTGAGGCTAGCAAGATCCTGTCTCCCAAAAAAAAAGAGATCTCAGGAGCTGCGAGATAATCAGCTTGCTAACGAGGCAAGGAGAAAACACCTCATTGTGAGATTTTAGCCAAAGACTCGGGACAGGAGAGGATTGGCAAACAGTGATACCTACCATCTGTGTAGAAATCCAGTTGAAGCACAGAATAGTGGGCAGAAGGCTTGGGAAAGGGCTAAAAATCTAGATTTAGGGGCCAGGGAGATGGCTCAGTAGAGTAAGTGCTTCCCTGGCAAGCACCAGGGCCTGAGTTCAATCCCTGGTTCTGCCAAAAAACTAAATTTACAAAACCAGCGGAACAGTGATAATCTGGAGCCGGCTGGCCGCCTGTGATCTCTTCCCTGGTAGGATGAGCAAGAAATTTCACACACATACACCCCAGCTACATTTGTTCATTCCACACAGCTTGCCAGAAAATGAGGCAGAGGCCATGAGGATGGAAGAACTGAAGAGAAGAAGCCTTTCTTTGGGGTCCTCTGCTCAGCACATGTTCTGTGGTGTGGATTTCTATAGGCATCTATATGTACATGCAGCTGACGGCCCAGGTTAGGGCATTCCACGACTTCTTCGTGTATGAACAGTTCCATCCCTACCTCTTAGGTCCTCTGCTCATGGAGTTCCTAGCATGGGCCTGTGGCAAGGACCTGTGCATGTCATGCAGAGATCCCCCCCAGGCAGGAAGGTGATGACGATTCCCTGTGCTGTGGAACAGAAGCTTCACCAGTAACACAGCTAGTTTTGCCACATGATTTGTGTTACTGTATTACATATGGTGAAAAGCGTGCCCAAACTGGAAGAGATCACTTTGAACTACAGTAAAGCAGTAACTGGAGAAAGTGGTCAGAAATCCCAGGGCCTTTGCTCCTAGCTACATCCCCAGCCATTGCCTGAGACTGGCTCAGTGAGTTGCTCAGATGCTCAGGCTGGGCTTCAATTTGTGATCTGAGGGGCCGGGGAGATGGCTCAGTGGAATAAGCACTTCCCTGGCAAGCACAAGGGCCTGAGTTCAATCCCCGGTTCTGCAAAAGAAAAAAAAAGAAAAAGAAAACCTTCTAGGGGCTGGAGAGATGGCTCAGTGGTCTAAAGCACCTACTTGGAACAAGCTTGGCAAAGCACAGGGACCGCGGTTCGATCCCCCAGCACCACATGCCAGCCAGCCGCGCCCCCTGGTGGGCTGAGCTGGCCACACGCGCGCACACACACACACACACACAATAAATAAATTTTAAAAAAAAAAAATTTGTGATCTGCCTCGGCCTCCCACAGTGCTGGGACTACAGGTTTGTACCGCTAGGAACAGCAGTAGTTAGGATTTCATGCTGGTTTTTTACAGTTGTGTTTCTCTACTAAGTGGCACCATATGCAGTCTGCAGTAGTCCCTCGCTGTTTTGCAGTTTGACTTTCCTGGACTATTTCACAGGTTTAAAAAAAAAAGTACTAATAACCTCATTCGAGTTTCTATCTAGTCACTCTTCTGAGCTGTGGTGTTGGCTCTGTCTGCATATGTTAAGGCGTAACCTGCTATCCTCAGCAGAAAAACACTTTGACGATCAACATTTTCAACCTTAAAGATTATATTTCTTCCTATTTTCCTCTGGGATGTATTTTGATACTGTTTTATCTACCAAACTTTTCTGTTATTAATCAAAACTACATTTATAACATAAGCCAGAGGATGGTGGTGAGAAGATAATTGTTACATGCCCTGAGCTGCTGTAGGGCAAATTCCATTAGTAACCACAATTGATAGCAGTGTACCAGGGGAGTAGTGCACTACTCGAAGACTTAACTGATTTACAAAAAGGAACACAAGTACTGATACTCAAATGAAGTCAGTTATTTTTTTTTTATTTCTGTATTTTAGGGAAGGGTCTGCAGGGTGTTCAGGGTCTCACTACTAGATTGGACTTGTAGTGATTCTGTTTACAGCCTCTCAATTGCTGGGATTACAGGTGCACACCACCATGCCTAGTCTCAATTGAATGTCCCAGGGGTGGGGCTAGCAGGGCAGGATCAGGAATCAAACCTGCTTGCAGACACTTTAATCCACTGAGCTAACTGGTTGGCCCTAGTTGGAAGAATAATTTAAAGGAAGTAATTTTGGGGTGCTGTCATATAAGTTGTTCCAGATAAAGGAAAATAAGTTCATGAGGATCTTACAGTGTTGGTGACCACAAGACTTTTTAAAGATGTAAATTTTTTCATTGTTCATTGAAAGAACTAAGGAAGAATCATGATTTTTTCTTTTTCTTTTTAATATATTTTGTACAGGGTCTCACTCTACTGCTTAGACTTGTAGTGATCCTGTTGTTTTCAGCCTCCCAAATGCTGGGAGTACAGGCGTGCACCACCACTCAATCACTGGCCTAGCACACCCTGGGGGCAGGGCTGACATGGCACACAGGATCAAACCCCAGCCACTGGGCTCTGCCTGAGCAGGTGCTATAGTCTGCTGAGCTATCTGGCTGGCCCCTTCCTCAATATAATTCATTAGACTGCTCAGGAAATAGTTTCAAAACTAGATTTAGAGCCAGAGGCTTCTGATGTTATGCCATGGATGAATTTAAGCATCTCTTCTCTGCTGTGCAGCTAAGGGGTCTGTGCTCAGGGTATGTGGCATAGCTTTCTGGACAGTGATGACAGTCAGTTTGGGCATGCAAGGGGCAGCAGACTAGAAGCCAAGGATGCCCTCCACAGGTAGTCCCTACTGTTTTACCAGTAGTTTTAGGTGATTAGAACACATAGGGGTGGTACTTTTGCTTGTTTTAGTGAGCTTTCCTCATTGGGGATTTAACACATTCCTGCCATCTTGACCACCAGTGGTACATACACGGTCACCACCAGGTGATCTGAACTGTCCCATGCTACCCCATGGGACACTCATGCATATACTACCCAACTACCTTACCATTTCTACCAAGTAAGAGGCTGACAGATTTAATTACAGCCCTGAACATTAAGCCACACCTCCCCGAAGCTAGCTGGAGACCAGAGTGTTGCAGATGCAGCTCCTGAGGCCAGGATTTCTTTTTTTTTCTTTTCATCTATATGCCCTTTTTTTGTTAAGTTCTGTTATTTGAATATTATAGGTGTGTAAACTCAGTAAAATATGCTAAAAGAATCCATTAGCCCATAATAGTATTGGGTCTTCCGCTTCACTAGCAATGTCAGAAATTGCTGACCTGAGTCCCCTACAGCTCAACCTAACAGCATGGCTTTACTTCTTATACTTCGTTTTTATACTTTTCTGCTGGATGGTTAAGATCAAGGTAAAGCAGGACTTACGCAACAAGAGTTGCAGCTTTTGGGTCTGATAAGGTCAGTGAAGTCCCCTCAGGATTTATCCTGAGATCCTGTACCTCAGAGTGTAGAACCTTTGTCATTGTCAGCCATGTGGATGAGTCACGGCCATTGCTTGGCCAGTGTGCTCTCTGTGAAAGCCTGAGAGAATGTTTTCTCTCCAAGTGACTCTCCTTAGGCACATTCTACATCATCGATCACTTTCCTCTTTGGCCCCATAATCTTGATCAGAAAATTTGGGACACTACTGAGTTACATGACGTTACAGTACAAGTTCTCATATGTCCTGAGTCTTAAGTGACCTTGGAAGGCTAGGGCCAAAATGTTGGCTTTCCCTGCGGCCCTCCTTTTTCTTTAATTTTGGTCTGCAAACTTAGGTTGTTAACCATCCAGAAGACAAGCTTATTCTTATTATCATACAACTTAGGCTGTTAAGCTTAAACTCACTATCGAGGCCAGGATTTCTCATGGCAAAAATGAGGGCCGTTTCTACGAAACTGTTGAACTGTACTACACTGAACGGTCTCATCAGCTTGGCCAGGCCTGGGTGAGGCAAAATAGCTGGAGGCTTTGGAGGTGGTGAGAGCCACATCTGAATCCTGGCTCAGCCATTTCTTACCACCCCTGTGACCTTAAGTAAAGAACTTTACAACTCTGGAGTCTTTCATTTGTGAAGGCAGAGGCCTGGAGTAGTAGTGGCCTACCTCACAGGTATTAAGAGATATAAATCCAGGAAATTTGATTTAGTTGTTCTCGAAGTGGCCTTGTTTTCAGCAGTGAGGGATACAGGTAAAGCTGACACCTTTCCTGCCTTAAGGGCATCCTGTGAATGACACAGGAGATTACAGGTGTCATACAGAATCCTCTGGCTATATTCTGGGTGACAGGAGAAGAGCAATAGGTAAGGAAGGGTGCACAAGAACAGGCAACCAAGGTGTAAGTTGGTGGCCAAGATCAGGGGTACCCAGGCAGACTAGAAAACACAGCATCTGCCAAACAGCCAAAAGGCGCTGGGGACGCAGACAATCAGCATCGGGGAGATGGGGTGTTCAGCCTGACACCGGAAGGGTCCAGCCTAGCTGAGACATCCATGTCCTTGGGAAGGGCTCGCCCTGAGAGTGCCCCACCTTTTTCCTGTGTAGAAAAGTAATCTGGTGCCTTCTCGGCTTTGTCCTGAGTGCTCCCCGTGGGGGGAAGGCAGGTCCAGTGGGGTCGGGCCTACACTCGCCCCCTCCCGTGCTGCCATTATCAGCAGTGTCCAGATGGTCAGAGGCTCCCTAATCTGGGATGATCGCAGGGTTGTAGCTCTTCTGGGACCTGAGCCTTTGTGCCTGACTGTGACGGGCCAGCCCCAGCTGGAGAGACCGTGCAGACAGGGCCCTGGGGCTTTGGAAGATGGGGCGGCTGTGGTGCTGGCCCTGGATTGGAGAGATGCCAAGGACAGATGCGACTTCTCTTCTGAAGGCAGACTGCAGCTGAGCCACTGCCTGCAGATGGGCTAGGCCAGAGCCTCCTCGGGCTGCAGGCAGGCCTGAATGGCTGGGCCTCCGAATCTGTCCCGCTTTGTTCCCTTGCTTCCGAATTCACCTCTTCCTATTGACTATATGAAGTGTTCACAGTGGTATCTCTGGCTTAACTTCTCACAGTGATGTTAGGGAACTCGCAGGTCTAGGTACACAGCCAGGGTCACTGGGTTCTTAGAGGATTGTAGCTCTGTCACACTCCACCTTGCATGAAATGCTTCAAATTTTAAAAGAAGGTATCCATATTGCTACTATGAAAGCAAAAGAGGTCAGGTGTGCTATGGCTGAATGTTGGTGTCCCTCCAAAATTTGTATGTTGAACCTTCCACACAGTATGGTAGTATAAAGAGTTGCGGCCTTGGAGAGGAAGTGATTAAGTTATTTACGCCCTCATAAATATTTATACTCTTACCAAAGGTGGAAGGGAGCTGCTTTGCTCCTTCCTGCCAGGTGGGGACACAAGAAAGTGCTGACCTCAAAGTAGAGCCCTTACATGCTGATCTGGGACTTCCAAGCATCCAGAATTGTAAAAATTAATTTCTGTTCATAAATGCCTCAGTCTGAGGCATTTTGTTACAGCAGCCTACACAGACTAAGATGGTAGGAAAGTGCTCTGTGACCATTAAAAGCTAGGAGCAGATAGTGAGGACTGCTTCTCCAGGCAAAGTGGGCTTGAGCTGGAAGACAGATCCAAAATTTGAGCAAGGTTTTATTTCTACAAGAAAAGGGCCAATAGGTTAAAGAGCTGTTTGTGTGGAGGGGAACAGAATGGTGTGCTTGCGTTCTCCCTACCCCCTCCATCTCTGGCTGTCCCTGTCCCATTCATCTGCTCAGGCTCTGGATGATGGTGACACAGCCATGGGAGCTGGTGCAGCGCTGCAGGGATGGCTGGGCCTCCACCTGCCCACTGCTGGGGTCAAAGGTGAAGACCCTGTTGGTGCTTTCCCCGTGCTCATCCCGCCCACCAAGGATGTGGACCTTCCCATCACACACGGTCATTCCACAGCTCTCCTGGGGAACAAACAGAAAGGCACATCAACTCTGTAATCCGATTTGAAGCCTAGCTGGCCTGGCCAGACCAGAGAGGAGAACCTTGTCTTACAGACTAGACAGACAGGCAGTCTGGATGGCAGGGAGGCAGAGATTGCATGGGCCTGAGGTTAAACTCTAGCATGACCCTTGATAAATGGACAGATGGCCTAGAAGTCATTTATGTGCTCTGAGCCTTAAGTTTCCTCATCAGCAAAGTATGAAGGGTAACAGTACCTTCTTCATTCATGTTCTCAGGGGCCGGCCTGATAGCTCAGTGCATTAAAGCACCTGCTTAGGTGGATGCAGAGACCCATCCATGGCCTGCCCTGCCTTGCCCTGCCATGCCAGCCCCGCCCACAGGGTGGGGCTGAGATAGCAACTGAGACTGGGTGTGGTAGTGCACACCTGTAATCCCAGTGCTTGGGAGGCTGAAAACAGGATTACTATGAGTCCGAGCTACTAGTGGGACCCTGTAGACCCTGTACTAAATAATTAAAAAACAAAACAAAACTTTCCTTCATAGGGTTCTCACAGTTGATAGGGTTAAGTATGTAAAATATGATACATAGCGCCAGAAATAGACTGCACTTGGTCTTAACTAAAAGGCTGAATCTCTAATGCCTGGAATGTCATCAGCATACAGTTAACAATAATGATCCCTACCACCGCCACAGCCTGAATGTCTCAGACTCCTTAGAGGAATGTGTTCTAATAGTGTTTGTAAATAGGATATCATATCTGCATCTTGTACAGCAATTAACCACTAGGAAGGCAGTATGCAATGTGTTAATTATTGAAACTCCTACCAATTTGATTTGAAACTGTTTCATTGCTGTTTGTTTCTCAATAAAATTATGGAAGAAAATTATATCTCAGACTCCGAAGCTAGACATTTCTGGCCCTTGGGATCACTGAACAGCAGAACGAGCAGGGACTTCCAGTCTACCCACATCTCTATCTCGTCTCCGGAGTCTAGGGAGGGAAGGGAAGGAGCTATAGGAGCTAGGGTCAGAACCTGGACTTCCTGCTCTTCCCTACTGGTGGGGGCTGAGAAATTTAGCACGGCCCCTCCCCACGCCCCACTGTGCACAGTAGGCTACCAGATGGTGGTCCCTAGAGAAGGGGAAACTGCAAACCCCTATTCCAGGGTGGAGCACTTGGGATTCTAGTTCTGCCTTAATATGCCTAATTGGTGGCCTTGGGCCAGCCTCTCTAACGCTAGGTGTCATTGAGGACAAAGCTAGAGAACTATGTAAAGTCCACCAGCATTGAGTCATTACACAAGATCTGCTGCTTCCAGGGCCTTAGAGTGGGTTTGCTGTCCTAAATGGACCAGTGCAGGGCTGTGCCCAGGGCCTCCACTTACCACAGGACTGGGGAGGACAGCTGCTTCCCCCCAGACGTCTGTGTCAGGGTCATAGGTGAAGATTTTGTTCATGAGGCCCCCCACCACGTAGATGGTATCCTCCAGGGAGACAGCCTCGAGGCATCGCTGTGAGAAGGGTGCTGGTGCACGCAAGCTCCACTGCTCCTCCTTGGGGTCAAAGCACTGCACCTGGGGGCAGGAAGGCAATGTGGTGAAGCCTGATCCCCAGCTGGCCCGGCCTGCTGCCATGTCCTGCCACTTCTCATGGGACATCCAACACCACCAGTGTCCACCAGGCCTGAGCCAGCGTCTGCGAAGGAGATGAGACCCACTGTCCCTGCTCTGGGGTGCCATCAGCCTCGTTCTTTTTGCCTCCAGCCCCTGTATGCTCTTCGTAAAAAGCTCAAATGCCGCCCCATCCTTCAGCCTTTCCTGGTGTTTCTGCCCCTCCCTCCCCACTGCAAGAACAGTCTCTCCTTTGATGGAGGAGTGGAGTCTTCTCATGACGTTAATCATCAGAGCACATCCTAGCAGTCTGGGAGAGAGATGTGACCTGGGACGTGGAGGAGTATTCCTGGCTGCATATGGTGTCAGTGCTCTGGACTTCTGGTGCTGTGGGGTCTCCACTCTACCCCAGTTGAGAGTTAGAGTCTGCACAGCTCTGCATGGACCTCTGGACTCAGGGGTGTTGAGGGTACTTAGCTTCCTTGGCTCCCTGCCCACCTTTGCTCGCTGCTTCAGTTATTTCCTAGGAGACACCCCGCCCCCAAATGGCCTACCACAGATCAGTCCTGTGTGGGATGATGGGATGAGGGGCCTCCTACCACTGGTGGCTCCCATCTAGCTCCAGGAAGTTTGGTTGGAGGAATGAGGTCAGAAAATAAGGAGCAATCCTAATTTGGGAAATATTCAGGTCCCAGAACCACAGGAAGGGAAGAGGGAAAACTGCTGTGGAAATTAATTTTTATTCATAAAAGCTTATCAATAGATTAGTAGACTACAGTCACCTACCCTGTGGAATATTACAGATACTGAAATGATTGCCATGAAGTGCTATGTGGAAAGTGCTTGCAAATTAGAGTAGATAGTAAAATACTTTTTTTCCCTCTTTTTGAGACAGGGTCTCTATGCAGTTCAGGCTAGCCTTGAGCTCACTTTGTAGCCCAGGCTCGTCTCACAGTCAAAACGAGCCTCCTGCCTCAGCTTCCCCTGCGTTGGGATTGTAGGCATGTGCCACCATGCCTGGCTGAAATACAATTTTTTAAAGCAGGAACATAAAACAGAAAAATGAAAAATCAGAATTCTGAAAGGCAGCACACCGAAATGTTCAAACTAGGTTATCCTTAGATGTTGGAGGTATGGGATTTGTGGGTAAAATTTTAATTCTAAATTTTCAAAAATGAGCATTTTTTGAATGGAGGAAAAAGTTTAATCCTGCCTGTTATGGTTTATGTCTGCTTGTCCCCCCAAGGCCTCAGGCAGTCAGGAGCAGCTTCTAGAATTTGTGATTAATTCATAATCCAGTGTGAGATTATGGGTGTGAGGCTACAGCTGCCCAGGAGCAGACAGCCCGAATACAAGCTGCCACAGGGGCTGCTCCTGCTTTTGCTCTTTGCTGTTTTTCCACTGCCCTCTGCCATGTGTCACTCTGTCTTACAGCCAGCCCAATATGGACTGAAACCTCCACTAACTGTGAGCTAACTACAGCCTTTCCTTCCTTGATTCAGGGTGCTGGGTATTTTGTCCCAGCAATGAGACAAAAGTAACTGAGGCACTACCCTTCCCCTCACTTAATTTTAGTCCAACACCCGTACTAATGACACCAGGCCAAACATGGGAATCCAGAGCACTGTGGACCACTGTGTGAACTTGAGGCCATTTTTCTGAACCCAGTCCCTTGCCTGAAACCTGGAGACAAGTCTTTGGCACTGATGATGGGAATAAATTAAACAAAAATGATAAACAAGAAATCACTCAGGTCTGTGCTTGGCACACAGCGGGTGCCACTGTTTCTCATCAGCCTCCAGCCACCCCACACCCCAGGTCTGTGCTCACCTTGTTGGTGTTGACACCATCCTGCTTTGCACCCCCAATCACGAAGAGTTGGCCCACACAGGGTGCCACGGCTGCAGAGCTCACGGCCTCCAGCAGGGGTGCAGTCACAGCCCATGTGTTGGAGAAAGGGTCGTAGCGCTCCACACTGCTCAGCCGCCTCAGGCCATCGAAGCCGCCCACTGTGAACAGCTAGGGGTGAGGACACAAGCAGGAGTGCCGGGAGTCAGGGCCATAGGCAACTCCTTGGCCCCTTCAGTCTGTGAGCAGAGAAGCTACCTCTGTGCTACCTTCTGGACCAAACTCACCCTGCAGGCATCCCCGGAGCATCCCAGCATTGCCACCACCTACCCCACACAGTTACAGAACCTTCCCCACTGCTTCCTCTGCTTAGCCAGGTGTATAGGCTGGACTCTAACAGGAATGATTAAATTGGCAAATACTTGGCACCAACCTGATCATTACTAACTGCAAGTAGTTCTTATGAAGGGTTTACCACCCCCACTTAATTGATTCTCAGAAACACTTTGTGTTGCTCAATTCATGATACAGATCAAAAAGATAATCAGCAGAATTCTTTGTCCTAAATAGCATCCAGGATTCAGCCCAGACTATTTGGCCACAGAGCCCACACCCATAACCACTTCTGGGCTGTACTAGGCCATGATAGTAATCGCTATCATCATTAGTATTAGCGTTGTTATGTCACCTTGGGAAAGTCCTTTTCCTCTTTTTGGACCTCAGATCCCTCCCTACAAAGAGAGGGTCTTAGAAGGACTTCCCTCAGGACAGCTCCGCCTTCAAGCTCTGCCAGGGTCCCAGGAAGTGGTGGTAGAGTGTGCCCACCTGGCCCTGCACTGCTGCCATCTTGTGTCTCCATCTGCCCTGCTGCAGTGAGGCTACCTTGATCCAGGTGTGCAGATGGGAGCTGAACATCCACACATCCCGGCTGTTAATGTGGCCTCCTAGAGAGAGAAAGACGGAGGGAGGGGGATGGGGGGGAGAGAGAAAGAGAGAGAGTGCTGTTGACCTCAGACCCTCTTGCTGTCACCAGCACACCCAAAGAAGCCAGAAACACAGGCCCCGAATCTACAGGTGGGGTTAAGAACAGATAGGACTGAGACTGGGCATGGTGGTGTACACCTGTAATCCCAGCTCTTGGGAGGCTGTAAACAGGCATATCACTATGAGTCTGATCTAGTAGCGAGACCCTGAACACCCTGTAGACCCTTCCCTAAAACACAGGAAAAAAAAATAAATAAAAACAGGACTTTTCCCTGGGCTGGTATAAGGCTGTGGAACTTGGTTCAGCCACTGCTTTGAATGAGAAGAGGTCTGAGCTAGGGGATTCAAGGGCCAGGGCCGACAGTTTCAGGAAGGAGCTGATCTTTACTGGGTGTTTTGCAGGGTGGTCCCAGTGCTGTGATTAAGGAAGGGTATCTGTGCTAAGGGGAGTCCATAAGTACAAAAAGTCCATAAGCTTGTCCCAAGACAAGCATCAGGAATGTTCTGGGTTTTAGGAAAAGCAAAGCTATCATTTGCACTGGGATGGCCAGTAATCCTGTACTTCTTCCATGGTCATGATTTCATTCCTTGGCCACCCCTTTGTGAAGTATTGGGTGCCACCAGGTGTGGTGCTACTAGCCCACAATCTCAGCGTTCAGGAGGCTGAGGCAGGAGGATTGTTGGGAGTTCTAGACCAACCATGGGCTACAAAGTGAGCTCAAGGACAGCCTGAACTGCATAGCAAGACCTTGTCTCAAAAAGATAACAAATGACCTGGAGACCACATGGTCTTTTGTCAGACTAAAGAGCAAAGACCAGAATCCTACTCCCTGAAGTCCAATATTGGTGCTGCCCAAGGACACATCACACCACACCAGTGATTGACTCGACAGGACTACACACCACTTCAACCAATAACTGCAAGTTTTCAGAAGCCCCGCCCCATCTCCCAATTGGAGGGGAAAATAGTGCCACACGGATGGCGGTAGTAAGTCAATCCCACGGGACTCCAGCTGCAGCCCTCTCACCAGAAACGTAGATGTCATTGCGAAGAGCGCAGGCAGCAAACTCCGAGCGTGTGTAACCAGGCAGGCCAGGCAGAGAGGTCCAGCGCTGGCTTTCTGGGTGGTAGGCATCAGCGAAAGGCAGCTTCAAGAGACCTTTGCGGTCACAACCACCAATGACCACGATCACTTCAGCAAGATCCATGAATCTGATGTGGGGATAAACCCAGTGCCTATTGATCTACACCCTAATTGTGGCCCTTTCTTGCCCTTTTTGCAGGGATTGAACTCAGGCCCTTGCACTTGCCAGGGAAGCACTTATTCCACTGAGCCATCTCCCCCGCCCTCTTGGCCTTTTCTGACTACACTATACAATCTTGTTACCCTTCCACCCTTCTGCCCAGGCACCCCCAACTCTGCCACTTCCAACCTTCCTGCTGGTTACTTGTAAGAAGGTCACTATTACTACAATCTATGTGCCTCTAATTTACAGGGAAAAAAGCTCAGCGGATTAAAGCACCCACTTAGGCAGAGGCAGGCACGGATTCCAACACCCCGGGGCATGGCGCGAGGAGGGGGAGGGGAAGGGGAGGATTTCTTTGTGGTTGGCTCAGTCCGCCTTGGGGGCGGGGCTGGTGCGACATGTAGTGCTGGGGATCAAACCACGGTCTCTGCGCCTTGCCTAAGCAGACGCTTTAGACCACTGAGCTATCTCACCAGCCCCTACCTACTTTAATTCTTAAGAGCATTCCGTTAGGTAGGTGGTGTCCCCTTCACACAGGTGGAAACGGAGGCCCTCAGGTCGTGGCCTGTTTCCTCCTGATTCTCATGAGCAAGCACTCTATCACTAAGCCACAAGCCCCTGCACTCCTTTCCTTTTTAATTTTTATTTTGGGACAGGGTCTTACTAAATCAATTAGCCTGCCTTAAACATTCCATCCTCCTGCTTCCCACTATCTGGGATTACAGGTATGTGTTACTCCATTTGGCCTTGCTCAGTTTTGTCTGACAAATCACCTTCGTGGCATTTTTTCTGACCTCCATCACTAGTTGCCAATTCTGCTGTGTCCCTTCTATCTGTTTCCTAATTCCTCTGAACATTCCCCACACCCTCCAGGCTTCTGAGCACACCAGATTTTCTGTAGCCAGCAGTTTCCTAGTTTCTTTGATAAATGGCATAGTCTTTGCCCGAGGCCCTGTGCGTAGGGTCAGATACTGTGGTTATGACAGTGTCATCACTGTCCTGTGGAATGACAACCACTATGGACTATTCTACCCATAGTCTGAAGTTTCTAGTTCCGGGCATGGAACAGTCACCTCATTTCATCCCCTACCCCTGCCAATTTTACTCCCTGTAGCCTGTAAGCTTCAGGGAGCAGGTGTTCCTGAATCACTTGCTCCAGCGTTTGCAGAGTAAGCCCTCAAATGCTACATAACAGCGAGGGGGACCCTGTGCCACGTGTGGAATCTCAAGGGCTGGGAGGTCTCCCAGGACCAAGTTTATGCAATATTGAACAGATGACTGAATTTCACTCTAGAGGCGTGACTAAGCGATTTAGGGATGGTGCGGGGCTGGGCGGCTGGAGAGTGTGGGGCGGGTGGAGGGCGGCTGTACCTCCGCGGCCGGGCCCTCAGGGCGCTGGCCTCCCGGCCCAGGATGAAGCAGGCCCGGGCCTCGAGCAGCAGGGGCCGGCACTCGCCGCAGGCCTGCAGCAGCTCGTCGGCCTCCACCTTCTCCAGAAAGTAGGCGGGAGCCAGCAGGGGCAGGCGCACGTGCTCCAGCAGGCGCCGCAGCTGCCCGCGCCGGGCCGCGGCGTCGTGGCGCACCCAGCGCATGGCCGCCTCGAACACGGCCTCCTCGCGCGCCACGCCCAGGGCGGGGTCGGCCAGCAGCGCCGCCACCTCCTCCGGGGCCAACTCCAGGAAGTCCGCGTGGCGGGCCACCTCGGCGAAGGCCTGGCGCAGCACGCGGCCGCAGCGCTCGGCCAGCGAGGCCAGCGAGAAGGCGGCGGCCACGCGCCG